TAGTGTATATATAATCACACTTTAATTAGAATGTGTGATTAAAAAATATAAATATAATCACACTTGTTTAAAAAGTGTGATTAAAAAGTAGTAGTGTATATATAATCACACTTTAATTAGAATGTTATATATATATATATATATATAATCACACTTAATTGAAAAGTGACATAAAAAATAAATATTATCACACTCAATTAAATTAAGTGTGATTAAAATATCAATCTAATTTTTTTTATCACACTTCCAACAAAAGTGAGATCTTTTTTTTTTTTGTCAAAGTGTGATTTTTAACTATTTTTGTAGTAGTGTATTTTCTTACGAAACTATATACAAATTGAACCATTAATAGAGAAACCAGCCCTCGTTGATAACTAGTAACCTCGTATGCATCTACTATTATTTTTCCATATCCAAAAATATTTAAGCAAGTAACAATGTGAGCTCCAACCTATTTGAAACTACTGTGCCATAAATAGTTGATGCAGATGTCTTATGGCTTCTGCCACATCTAGGAAGCGACATATTTTTAATCTGATACGATATAACAATATTTACCTTAGTATTTAAGGGAGAACAAAGGCTGAAGAATGGATTTGCTATAAGAATCAGCCCAATCCAGAGATTCCCACCATTCATTATCTCCCCAAATGTGCTGAAGCGCAGGTGGTGCTGATGCTTGCCCGTTATCCATGTGCAAAGAAAGAGGTAGTCTCCTTAATGTGTGACACTTGTCTACAACAATATCTTGCAGAGATCCACAGACCATTTTGCCCTTATATATGCTCTTCAGTCTTGGTAGACTTGACAGTTGTAATCTCTGGAAATTTCGTAGTGTGATTGTGTTGCTATCCTCTTGATGATGACCCTGATCGCTCATCTCTACTTCTACAAATATGTCCTCCACATGTTTACAATAAGACACTTCAAGTTGCTCGAGGTTTGGGAAGTTCTGCAACAACTTAGCAGGGAAAATATTCCTAATACTGGAACATCTACAGAAGTACAATTTCTTAAGGTTAAAGGAAACACTGTATGGAGGAACAACTCCGTCAAAGAATGCCCTAAAATTGGGTAATTCAAGAAACAATAATGACTCAACAGTTCTTAGTGGAATTTGACTATCTTCTAAGGAGGATGATGACGAAAAGATGGATTCTATCCTATTACAGTATCGGAGATGACATGTTCTTAAATCTCTAGCATCCCCCAATGACAGAATATTTGATAAACTAATGAGATTGTGGCATTTTTTAATCTCAAAGAACACTATCTTTCTTGGGAGCACTAGCAAATCTATTCCACTTTAAAAAAGTATAGACTCAACATTAACACGAACTTCATTTCCCATGGTGCTGATGGCATATTCTAAATCATTCCCCACTATAAGACTGTAGTTTTCCAAGCTTTGACATTGTTGAGACGTCACATAACAAGTAAGCTCTTGCACATTCAGTAAGTGAGCACGGAGAACTTTTAATTGCCTCAAGCATAAGAGCTCTTTTGCTAATACTTTTGCTCTTGTTGCATCAATTCTAAGGCATTGGAGTTGGGACAGTCTGCATGTCACGACCCAAACCCGCCCCTAGGGGTTTAGTACCATAACCGTCCAGTAATCCGAGATTACTGAAGGCCTGCTTAACTGTAGAACAGTAAAACAGAGTACAGGGGCATGGCGGAAGCCAATACAGTAAATAAACAATGTCCAATGAGCTGTGATAGTCTGTATGCAAAAAGATTTTTCATACATTTATATATGAACAGTACAGAACAGTATGTACAACATTTATAGTCAATTAGAACAGGGACCCAATCCCTATTAAACAGTACAGTACAAAAGCATTCAGTCTATACAGTTATACAAAACAGATACAGAGACAGACGGGGAAATTAAAACACCCCTAAGCCATAGCTTGGCAGGCTCGGAACCTCACAGTGAGGCACAGTAGTTGGCTTGACAAAAAGGGAGTCTGACCCACGCTCCTAGCTCTGGTCTGGTGCCTGAACACCTACATATATATATATATATATAACAGTGAGCTAAAGCCCAGTGAATAACATAATGCGTAAAGAGGTTAAGAATGAATGTCCTTTCAGTAATGAAAACAGTTCATTGATTCAGTATATCAGTCATTCAATCATAACAGTCATATGTGGTACATCCATTAGCATAGCAGTACAGTAAAGAGTAGGTCTTAAAAGACCGAACAGTAAATGATGGTCATCATATCAGTAAACAGTAGTGGTTCCAACATGGGAACCAACAGAGATCTCTGTAACAGTAGCAGTAACAGTAAACAGTAGTTGTTATGGATGTCACAATACAGTTTAGAATAGAGGACATACATTTATTTAGTTAACAGTATCAGTTCAGAAAGCAATTCAATTAACAGTCAGAAAATATTCATCTTTGAACATATCTTTACATAATTGTTACTCACAGAGTTCTGGGCTAAGCAGCTGGAGCGCGTCTCCGAAAGCCAACCCTAAACAGTGACAGAACGAACACACACTAAGTTCACATTCGGGAAACAAAGACTCAGTCCCTACTTAGACTCGATGTGGTTCTACATCTATATCCTCATTAAGATGTCTTAAACTAGTGTAGACGTCCCCGAACGCACCGGGAGGAACTAGCTCCCGTTCCGTTCATTTTGGGGTCACTACAGCTCAGGACTCTCCAAATTGTCACGGTTCTAAGTCTGAACCAAAGAGTCCAAATCCGGCAAATTGTTTTGAAAAAACAGTTTTTGAAAGAAGTGCCAAACATGGACTGCTTTGCCAGATACAGAGTCGCCACCTAAATGTTTTTTAATGAGAAATTTAGGAAACCCTGACTCGGTGCCAAAGGCCACGTGTCCGTCATCACCAAAGTTGCCTCGGCTCGGGAACTTGGGTACGATTGGGGAAGGTCACTTCGTGAGCACCCCCGCTCGCCCGATCAAAGATCGGCCTCTACTAACCATGATATCTATTTTTGAAAACTTTGTGTGTCCTTATTCCGGTTATTAGCCTAGGTTACTATGTAATGCACACAGCATATAAGTATAGATCGGGTCACTTGAACTGGGACAAAACATTTCATGTTTGTGTTTTTGAAAGATGGTTTGCTACTCGCAAGTAGGCTTAAAACATACAATTGATGATTTATCCCAATCCAAATAACCCAACCTTCACCCACAGGCATTCAGGCAGTTATATCACATAAGCAAATAGCCTCATGGCAAGCATGCTATCATGGCAGTCACTCACACGCATGCAAGGATGCTAAAGCATAGAACTTACCGAGTACTCCAAGCCAAAATAGAAACTACATTAGAAATCATGCATGATCCTAAGTATACAAAAATGCCTAATGCAAAATACATGCAAAAATGCAACTATAGCAGGCTCGGCTATTCTAAACATGGCATATTGAAATGCTACAGCTAACATGTATTCAATTTTGGAATTGAAAATACAATGCTAGTTAGTATGATGCGCCGAGCGCCGGTGCATGCAAAACAGATAATGAATGCAAACATGCTATCATACTGCTTATGCTAATTAAAATATTGCCTTAATTAACCATCAAAAGCGGATAAATAAAGGGAGAAAAGACTGGGTCTGGAAAACATACAACAACACACACGCACACTTATTACAGTTGTGCCCTCGCGCAGAGTCCGAATAAATAATACAAGTCCGAATAAAGAATATTAACAGTCAAAATATTACAGTCCAATAATATACAAGTTCCTAATTAATTAACAAATTAACTAAGAAAACTGTAAAACTGGCGTGCAAGCAAGGGACTGCCTTGCGCCGAAATCCACTGGGATGCCCCGATTAGCCCTCTGTTTTGTGATTTTTTTTGGAAAGCGCGCCAAATCCGGGAAGTTTGCTGATTCTTATTTGCTGCAACAGAGAGCAGGAAAGGGGCATGGCAAGTGTATTTTCACAGATATATGCATGCCCGATCCTCGTGCCACCAATCACGCATATCGATGCATGATGGCAGAGGAGTCGAAATGTGCAACTCAATATAGAATGAATGCACGTGTAAACACAACAAGAACCTAACTCCATCATGGTAATCCGGAGTGTCGGGCTGATGGGAATTGATACACGTTTCGTCACTCGAAGTACGAAACGCACCTTGTTTCCGCGCCCGGCTAACTCCTATCCGAACACGATGCAATATGCATGACATGCATGAATGCCAACTAAGATACAGCCTAGCATGCTCAATGCTATGAAAATGAGATGCCTCGAAATGCGTGCACATGGGCACGCAAACCGAGAAAATGACATATGATGCAATGGCCATGGAAATGGCATATAGAATGTAACATGGACTTTATTACTAACTGAGAGAGCCTCAGCTACACCACATAAGGAGGCCGATCGGATGAAAATGAAAGTGCCTCGGAATGCGTGCACACGGACACGCAAACCGAGCAATGCATATGGCAATGCAAATGGCCTAAAATGGCAGTATAGAATGCGCAACATGGACTGTATACTAACATGAAGAGAGCCTCAGCCACACTCACATAAGAGGCCGATGATGAAAATGAAGTTGCCTCGAAGTGCGTGCACACTGGCACGCAAACCGAGGCAATGGCATACGCAGATGCCAATATGGCTAAAATTGTCAATATAACATGCTAATGGAATTTACGCACGAAATGTGGGGAAAACATCTCGAAATAGGCGAAAAACACACGCCGATGCACCCGAAAGCAAAAATTGGTACATGAAATGACTTTACAAGCTATTACAAAGCATGCATAATTGGTACATGGAATGAAAAGACAGAAGCAAGACAGCCCCAAAATAAGCATTTTACCAGTACAAATCATGGCCAAACAGCAAGCATAGATAGGGCAACAATGGCATGCAAAAATGGCTCTAAACATGAGGTTATGAAGCAACTCACAGCTGCTGCCCCCAAACAGGTTAGGGCCCTTCAACAACATTGAAGAGGGGCCCAAAATAAGTCAATTTACAGAACTGTAAAAACTCTAAAAACAAACATAGATATGGCTAAGCTCTTATGCAAGAAAAAGGGCCAAAAGGTTGCCAAAGAGGCAAGTGGTATATGCACAGCCCAAACTGAAAAATTCCCTTCTACAAAATTGAAGAGGGACCAAAAATAAGCATATTTACAGAACTGTAAAAATCCCAAAACAGTATACAAACATGCTAGAAATGCAATGCAAAATGAGGCTCAAAAAGTGGCTATAACACAAAGTATGCAAAATATTCCACAAACGGCCAAAGACCCTTAATGAAACATGTTAAGAAGGTCAAAATAAGACTATTTTCAGTACTGTAAAATGACCAAAAACCGAAGCATGATGGGCTGCCAAAGCATGCAAAAATGCGGACCAAAGGGGGGATATAACATGAAGTGGCACATGGAAGTCCCAAAAACTGATGAGCCCTTCTTCCATGTTGAAGAGGGGCTCAAAATAAGCCTATTTTTAGTTCTGTAAAACGCCCAAAAATGGAAGCACACTAGGCTAATAAATCATGCAAGAAAATTGACATACAAGGGGATATTGAAGCAAGTGCAATATGGGGGCCTCAAACAGGGTTGAGCCCTTAATGAAACAAGAAAATGAGCTCAAAAAAATGACCTTTTCAGTTTTGGTCGGAGCTCAAATCAGTAAGCATGTTGGCCAAGAAATTGGTGCAAAAAAGAGCTAGAAAAGAGGGAAAGTGGACTTACCCTTGGAGGCTTGACTTTGGTTGCCTCTTGGCTTGAGTTTGTGGCTCCTTAGGCCTTGGAGAACACCTTCAACCTTCTGGAATGGAGGATGGAAGGGTGGGGGTTGGTGGTGTAGAAGAAATGGTGATGTAGGACTTGGAAGTTTTTGCTTGAAAGAGAGAGATAAGGGGGAATTTGTGTATCAAGGCTTGAAGGCCAATTTTTCTAACCTCTAAAACCAATATTGCCTGCTGGTTATAAGGACCAAAAGGAGGGGGAGCATGGAAGGAAATGGTGGGGGAAAAGGACCAAGGCTTTCACAAAATATCCCCCGGATTGAGATATTTTCTGGGGGATACAGCTATATAGCTGTAAAGTGTGTATTGCAAGGAACATGGCCGGCCACCTTTTGGGGCTTCAGGTGGCCGGCCGGCCACCCCCCCTAGCCGGCCGGCTAGGGGTCAAAAGGGTCAAGTTCAAATAGTGGCCGGCCACCACAAAAAGGTGGCCTCCCAGATCCCCTCATCACAACCCTGTGGTTCGAATTTGGAAACTCTAAAACAGGAGAGAGAACAAGCCATTCCTAGGATGGGTTCAAAAGGGTCAAATGGAAATAGTGGCCGGCCATGAACTTTTAGGGTCCTTCCATGTGTGTACAACGCAAATATGTGGTTTGGGTTTGAAGAAAGTGGCCCCAAGGTGTTCAACATTGGCTCGGAAGCGAGAAAAACGGGTGTCGGAGGGCGAAAATGGAATATAACTGGTTGCCAAGATAATTGCTGACCTCCCACCCTCCAGTGACCTTCCTGGTGATAAAACAGGGGTACCTGCCAAAAATGAACGAAAATCGATGCAAAACGAATGCTCGGGGACCAAAACACGCAGTTCGGGGCCCCAAAAATGGGCTGCCAAGCACCAAAAGTGGCGTTCGGCCACGAAGTGGGTTTCTCTGACCCCAGTGTCCCTCAAAAGGGAGCAAATAAGATGTATGCCAAAATTTAGAGCAAACGGAGATGGTTAAGCGGTCCCGAACCGGGCAACACGGCCAACGGTTCCGAAAAAAAACCGGAAGCCGGGCTCCGAAATGGGCAAAATGGCCTATGGCCACAAAATGTAGCCCACGGCCACTAAGAGATGGTCTACAGGACCTCTCCCTCCCCTCAGGAAAAGAAACAGAGAGAAAACCTGAAGCCTGGTTCGCAAACCGAGGTAAGGCACAGAAGAGGTTTCGGAAGTCCGGAGGCAGGGCTCCACGCCAAGACTTTGAAACTTGCTGAACGAGCACGATATGCAACATCACCAAGCGCTCAATCGGTGACGTCTGAGTCTTAAGGTCGGTCAAAAATGGGGTGTCTACAACTAGGCCTAAGAATGCCTAGGATGGGATGAGGATGCAAAGATGCATTTTAAAAGCATTTTCAGAATTTTCAGAAAACAGGGGTCCCGCTCGAGCGTAGGTTTCCCCGCTCGAGCGGACATGCAGACAAAGGTATCCACTCGAGCGTAGACTTTCCCGCTCGAGCGTTCTATAAAACAGGGCAAAAGTACTGGATAGGTGAAAATCACGCTCGATGGGCGCTCGATAGCCGCTCAAGCGTAAGACACAAGGTCCCGCTCGAGCGTCAATTCTTCCGCTCGAGCGGACATCAAAACAGTGTAAAGTGCTGGGAGCACAAATTCCACGCTCGAGCGCCACTTCCCCCGCTTGAGCGGGAGTCCAAAATCTGGAAAACCTAGATTTGAGTCCCAAGTTGAAAACCAAGTTTTAATGCATCAAATTCGATTCCTTTGGGCCCTTTTCCTGGAAAACATTTGTAAATACATAGAATAACATGATTCAAAGCTCAATTGTAAAAACAAAGCTCAAAAGGAAGATCAATTCAACTCAATTTGAAACCAAATTTTCATGAACATGAGGAACATGCAAGGATGCATGAATTTAACCAATTCAAAGCTTCCAACACTTGCTCTAATGAGCCAATATTTTCAAAAACATGATGATTTCATGAACCTTAGCTAAAACTTGGACATGCATGTAACAATTTTTCATGAAATCAACTCAAACATCAACAATACAAACATGCATGCATGGAATGAGCTTCAATTCAACATTATAAGGCTCAATCTAGGCTTAGATCACTAAGGACATAAGAACCATGCAAGAACAAGCTTAAACACAACAATGAGAGGTTGAATTCCCTTACCTAAGTCTTCAATTATGAGACTATAAGCTCAAGTTTGCAAATTACTCTTCAATTCCTTCAATTACCAAGCAAAACTCAAGATGGAACTCAATTTCTCTCACTCTCTCCCTCTCTTCTCTCTTGGTCGGCTAAGGGTCTCAAATGAGATGAACAAAATGATTCCAAGATGAAATAAACCAAGCCTCAAAATGTTTAGGTAGTGGCCACTCACAATGGCATTAAGGTAAATAAGTCAAACTATGTAATTTAGCTTATTTTAATCTAATTTAATCATACCAAATCACATTTTAAATAATTATGCCATAAATTCACATAAATCCTAATGATCATAAAACATCAATCGATTTCTGGTTCGGCCACCGATAAGGCCTTCAATTTGCAGTTTAAACATAAATACACAAATAGATAATCAAACAGGCAACAGATAGATATACAATTAAACAAATATACTCAGTCAATTCAGTTCCAGATTTCAGTCAGTCTGGTCAGTATTTCAGTCAGTTCAATTACCAATCATAATCAGTCTCAGTTTAGCAGTAATCAGTGGTTACTCGGTAAACAGTGGTGAGGGTTATTACACTACATAACTTCCAGCAAGGAAATGTCTGTAGACTGTTATTCTAGGAGAGGTCGAGATTTCTGAGGTTAACCAATTATTCTATACCTTGGGGTACTTCTTCTATCTGACTCCTTTTCAGTTTTAACTCTTTCAATGCCTTTAGTTTCTCCAGTGACGGCACATACTTCAGTCTTACACAGTCCTTCAGTAACAATGTATGCAAATTCACCAACTTGGAGATGGAATCTGGCATAGACTCTATGTAGGTGCCGGACAAATCCAATACATTGAGATGATGCATATGCGCAAAAAAAGAATTTGGAATTCGTAATAATGGGTTATATCCAAGTAACAAGGTGGTGAGCCGAGGGCAAATGGGGGGTCTAAAAGGAAGTTCTTCTATCTTGTTGTACATTAAGGAAACCCTCTCAAGATCCTCAGACCAATCTTCGTATGCTACTCCTCCTAATCCCTCACCAGCTTTTGCCATGAATCAAGGACTAGTTGATGTTATTTTGAGAGCCATATCTCTTATCAAATCATGCAACCTCACGAATTCTTCCTTATGTATGTTGGTATGACTCTCCAACAAGCAAGTATTTATGAGTTTATTTAATATAGCGTGACCTTTGTCAAACATTGCTTCTATACTGTTCATCTCAGCCATTAGTCCCTCGGCAATCCAATATTCTATCAGCTCTTCCCTAGGGATGATATTGTCTTCTGGATACAATGCACAATACAAGAAACAATGTTGGAGCTTTTCTTCATTTAGGCGACTATAACTAAATTTTAGTCGCTCGAAAATCACACTTTCATTGTCCCTGATCTGTTTTGTTGAACTGGTCAATTCATTTACTGCATTTCTCCACCCACGAATGTCATTTACTCCCCTCATACTGTCAGCTATAGTAATGATTGCAAGAGACAGACGTGCACATTCTTTGGCAACTTTTGTTGTAATTTCTTTCACTTTTGGAGTAAGAACTGTCTGATGTTCTTCAACCTTGCTCATAAATAGATTCAGTGCTTCATCTTCCGTGAGAAGCTCTACTTTGACAGCTCTGCACTTCATCTTCCTACACACTTCTAACAATTGTGTAGTTAACACTAGTTTACATTCATTAGATATGGATGGCTTTGGAATACCCGCCTTATCTAGAGGAAATGCTTTCCACAGATCATCTAAGATGAGCACATACCTCTTCTTTTCGAAAAGCATTGTATACAATTCTGATGCTCTTTTTGTTTCATCCCCATAACTCGACAAATCAAGATTCAGTGCCTTGGCTATCTGCCTCTGTAGATTTCTAATGTTGAATGCTTTAGATACTGTGACCCAAATAACATCATCAAAGTTACAAGCTTCATTCAAGAGTTCATTGTTAATGTGATGCATGAAGGTTGTTTTACCAATTCCCCCCATTCCAAAAATGCCAATCCTTCTGACCTCATCATCCATCAAGTATTTCCATACATTCTCCATGTTCCTTGCACTTGTGTTTTCACAAAAAGATCCCATTGTTGGTATGAACAGTCCACTAGTTGGAAGTGCTTCAATCAGCAAACCATTAGAAAATTTAACCTTTTCCTGCAGTTCTGCCACCTCTTGAATCTTCTCTACAACAAGCTTTCCCAATTGTACACGTGAGAAAACGTTCTTCCATCCTACTACTTCTTGCTCTTGTCTTTGCAAAGTTCGCATATCACCTCTTGACATTTGCACATCTCCGAGCCAATCTTGAACTACTTTCTTTCTTCTTTTCCCTGATTGCTGCTCTGCACTGCTCAGTTCAGTCTTTATATCATCCTCTTGACTGCTCAAATCCTCTATCTTTCTTTTGAAAATTTTCAAGTTTGCATCAAGGCTGTTGATATATCCAAACCATTTTCCAGTTGCTTCCCCTAAATTTTTCACAATTTCAAAAATTGACACTAAGAATTCCATGGTGTGGTGTGGTTAGTTCCTACAAATATAGAAGTTGCAAAGGATTGTAGTTAAAAGGGAAAAAATCTTGAAGAAAACTTCAATATCAATTGTGACACTACCATTCAAAAGCTATTTGAATTTGATTAAAAACAATAGCAAGAGAAAGGAAATTATGCTAATATTTGCAAATTGACTTCATATTCACCTCAAAGTCAGTCTTGAATCACTAACAAAAGAATGATTGTACTAAATAAATAATAGTAAAATGGACCAGCATTTATGTTATTCAAGAATTTTGATCTGATGTTGTTCGTAAATTTAAGGTAGGTGGATGATTTGAAACACAAATATGAATAAGGTCTATAACAGCAATTGGAACTGTATAATACCTAATAAACCCACAAAAACTTTGATTTTATTTTATTCTTGTGTATTGATAATATAGTTATGTTGCTACTTGCAGCATTTCAATGAAGTGAACGAGAATTGGATAACATCTTTCAGGCATTTCCAGCAATATACTAAAAAAATTTTGTAGGACAAATTTTTTTTAGGAACATTTTGCTTTAAAGGAACTTCCACTCCCTACATTGCAAACCATTTCTAGAGCTTGAGTTTTCAGAGATAAAAATAAGTTTCTGAATACAGAACTGAACTTCCCTTGGCCTGTGTTTGGTTGAGGGATTTGAGGAGAAATTTGGAAAGGGAAAGGGAAAATGTATGTGAAATTAGGTAAAATGTAAATATATTATATTCACATTTTTACCAACCTTTTACCTTTCTCTTTCAAAACCTCTTCCAAAATCCCCTAACCAAACACAGCCTCAGTAATTTGCCTTAAAAAATCACAGAGCAAAACATGAATTGAAACAATTCAATTTTTTAACAAAAAGTAAAAAAAACAAGTTACATAGAGAGAGCTCATGTCTCAACTGAAACTTGAACTCCTACACCTCTCCATTGTATGAGAAAGATGGCATAAATGACTTCCAGACAAAAGAAGAATAAAAGCTTACAGCTGAATTCTCTAGCTTGGTAATATATACAATACAATGTTTTACTTCTTAGTTTGGAATATTGAAGGAAGATAAATTGCTTTCCATTTTATGAATTAGATCACAACTGTGGACATGTACATAAATGGTCCTCTGTCTACTCAACAAAAATAAATAAATCAATCAATCAAAATCGCGACTGTGGACATGTATCAATACAAGCTTGGCTCAACAAAAAAAAAGAAAAAAAAAAGCCAAGATTGAGGGCCAACTTCAAATAATAGCAAAAGAAAACTGAAGCTTAGTAATCCCAGAAAAAGTCACCTTCTGGTGTGTTCAGAGACTAATTTTGATAAAGCTTGGAAACCAAACTGTCTAAGAAGATAAAAAAGAAACAGACCAAACAATAATGAACCTTCTTCACAAACCCATCACCAATGCCCACCAGAAACTGCTCTACCCCGAAGCCTCTCTCTCCTCTTCGAATTCACAGAAAGCTTCGATTTTGGAGTCGTGAGATTTATGAAGATTCAAAGGAATTCTTAAGAAACGAACAACAACAATTTCAAAGCTTGAATAGTTCAAATTTCATATTAAACCTTAGGGAGGGTATTGTAATTTCTAAACCTTAAGGGTGTCAATGTAATTTATCTAATGAGGGTAAAATTCGTATTTAAAAAAATTAAAAGGGTTGAGGGGGAATCTGTAATGAAATTTTAAATCTCAGAGAGAGATGTAACTTTCAAAAGGTGAGGGAGAACTGTAATAAACATAAACCTCAGGGGGTGTTAGTGTAATTTACCCTTTTTTTATTAATAAATATTGGAGTGAGAAAGGTGAATTTGTAATATCAATGATACATAGTTTTAAAATAATAGTTTTAATGAGGTGGAAGAAAGAGTAGAGAGGGATAGGAATTAGGGGTCACTGTTGTGTGATTTATGGGAACTATTTTGAACTTTAGTTTTATAAGTTGTTTAATTTTTATAGAATATCGAGTAGAATATATCTGTAAAAAATTAAGTTAATAAGATATTAATAGACCTTTCATCAACTCATATTTGTATATATAAAAAAAGGATTTTTATTGATAAATCTATCTTAGAGATGTTATAACCCATTAAGTCCACAAAGGAATAAAATAACTTGATTAGTCCCATATACTTTTCTTTTTATTCCATAAAGTCCATTTTTCTAATTTTATATTTTTACATGGACTATTATGCCCCTATATATATATACACTATGGTAATACATAACACGTTCCTGTGATTTCGTGATTCAGTTTTGGCAGTTTCTCTCATTGTAATTCAAATGGATACATTTCTATCTTGCACGCTATCGTTCTATCGTTTTGAGGCTTTGATGTGCTAGGGTTTCATTGTTGCTGCTGTAGTCTGGTTCGGTGATTTTCAAGTGAAGACGACGAATTTGAAGGTGTTCAATTCTCACATTTTCTGGAGTATAACTACTTCAAAGCAGTTGTTTTCTAGTTTCTAGACGATTGTAGGATTGCATGATTAAGGTTAGTATCATTTTGGTTATGAATACATGTTCACTTTATGTTTTGATTTGTAGGATGGATCAGATGCTCTATTTTTTTTTATTGATATGGATCGGATGCTCTGTTTTTTCAATTACATGAATGTTTACACCACTAGACAGTAATGTGAATGTTTACATCAATTAACACTGATGTGAATGTTTACATTAGTGGCTAATATTGTGTGTTTATACATTACTGAACATTGGTGTGAATGTTCACATTATTGATGTCAACTTCCACACCATTGCCTAGTAATGTAAATGTTCACATCAGTAATGTGAATGTTCCGAATTTGTTTTGGTGCTACCATCACATCAATCTAGACTGATGTTTACAGCAGTGTCTAATAATGTGTGTTTGTACATTACTGAACAGTAATGTGAATGTTTACATCACTGATCTCAACTTCCACACCATTGCCCAGTAATGTGAACATTCACATCAGTAATGTGAATGTTCCACATTTGTTTTGGTGCTAACATCACATCAATCTACACTGATGTGAATGTTTACACCAGCGTCTACTAATGTGTGTTTGTACATTACTGAACAGTAATGTGAATGTTTACATCACTGATGTCAACTTCCATACCATTTCCCAGTAATGTGAACATTCATATCAGTAATGTGAATGTTCCACATTTGTTTTGGTGCTAACATCACATCAATCTACACTGATGTGAATGTTTACACCAACGTCTACTAATGTGTGTTTGTACATTACTGAACAGTAATGTGAATGTTTACATCACTGATGTCAACTTCCACACCATTGCCCAGTAATGTGAACATTCACATCAGAGTGGGCAGACCCCGTAAATGTTCATATTAAACATAGAATAAGTTTTATGAGATTTATCATTAACAACATCACACATCCGGTGACTCGTCCTGGCTTTCCACAATTTTGGCCCAATGAACCCATCAGGGTTGCCCGGATGCTCTCAACCCAATCATACTCGATCATCTTGTCAAATGGGTCCATGTATGAGTAGAAAGCCCATCCAATTGTTTCTTCCAATGTAGAAAAGAATAGCTTGACACATGCATACATGCAAACTAATCTTGCGACCTCTTCATTGTCTTGTTTCTTTGTGCTCTTCAATGCTTCGCTCAGAATTTCTCATATTTTGGCAGCACTTAATCGACTAACATCCTTGCACATTCGATGTATGATGCCGGTTGTTGGTTTTGCACCGTAAGAGAGGTCCATCGACTTGGTGCCGCAGTCCACCCCAAAAATCAGTGATACGTCGCTTCTAAAAATCTGGATGTTCTTATCCCCAATATAAAACCTTCCACTAAATTGCTTGAATGTCTGTACTATACGTACAATGACATCATCATATTTCATGCAGTGGTTGAGGTCGACTTCATTACTGATCAAGCAATCAAATAATGGCCAAAATGGTGTTTTTCTAAAGCACTTCAATTGGCCACTTGTAAATTTTGTATCCGTAACAGTTTGACCAATCCAGTTATATTTGACCGGTAGTCAACTTTTTTCATGTTCACTTCTTCAGGAACAGCTGGTTGATCAGGTTTGGCTTTGGCACGAGATTCCTCTCGTTTTCGCTTGCCATCAAATCTATGGGGAAGACCTGGGTGTTCAAATAAGAACATATAATTGGCTGAAAAACAGAGGATGAACCAAAAGCACACAACAACATTCAATAATCAGCATTGAAAGTAATGTGAACATTCACATCATTGTACACTGATGTGAATGTTCACATCAGTGTGTACTAATGTTAGTTTACCCAGTATAGTAATGTGAATGTTCACATCATCTATGTTGGCAAAATCAATTCCGAAAACAACACCAGTTACAGGGAAATGTAAATGTTTACATAGGTGATCACATTATGCTATAATTTGTTAAAAATCAAATGGTGGAACCAACAGCACCAAACAACACCCAACAACACAAACAAGTCGGACATTGATGTCACAATGTGAATATTTACATCATATTCCATTACATTGTTGAGTGAAGTTTGGGGGTTCTGTGGACATTAACAATCAACAATATCAACAGTGACAGTAATATGAACATTCATATGATGTGAATGTTCACATCAGTGCCTACTATTGTAAGTTTACCCAGTAATCAACACTTATGTGAATGTTCATATCATCTATGTTTACAAAATAAATTCTGAAAACAACAACAGTTACAGGGCAATGTAAATGTTTACATGGGTGATCAGATTATGCTATAATTTGCTAAAAATCAAAGGGTGGAACCAACAACACCAAACAACACCCAACAACACAAACAAGTCAGACATTGATGTCATAATGTGAATATTTACATCATATTCCATCACATTGTTGAGTGAAGTTTGGGGGTTCTGTGGACATCAACAATCAACAATATCAACAGTGAAAGTAATGTGAACATTCAAAGGCGGGAGCAGCATATATATGAAGGAAGATGGATTAAGAAATCAAAATAAGAACATCAGATAAGCACT